AATATATATATATATATATATATATATACACACACACACCCATGGTCTTAGTGGCAAGTATTTAGGATTATAACGATAAAAGCCAGGTTTCAATACTCTTGGTGGGCATAGCACAGATAACCCATTGTATAGCTTTGAATTTAACAACAAACAGACATATAAATCCACTGGCTGGTCAGGAATAAGCAGGAGCTATATTTAGTATTTCGGAATTCGATCACCGCAGTGGAAACAGCCCAGATAGCTAAAAACAAAACAATAAACGTATATAATCTAAACATTCTAACACAGCCTTCGGTGATGCTGCTTCTGAGATGTCATATCTGTTTTAAATTGGATAAATAACGTACTACGGTCGGTTTTACGGGTAATAGAATTAGACTTTTAGTCAGAAATATTTCAAGTGTTTCCTTTCAAGTCGCTCACGAATAATTGAAGAACAATTAACGTATGAAAAGAATAAAGAATTCTGCGAGAAGCATGTGGTTTTCTTACACACGTACTAGGTGAGAAAAAAGTGCAGCCTACTTATTAACTTTTTTTTAGAAAGTTATTTTTAATAATATATTTTGTCATGTATTCACGACAGACGGCGCTAGATGTAAGTTTAAATGGCAGTTCTCACTTGCTTTGATTTTGAGTAACATGCTGTAATTATGTTCTCAAAATATTCCTAATCTAGCAACATTTAAATTCAAAATTTATCTTATAACTGACTTGTGCAGTTGGATTCATAACATCACATCTGCATTTTATGGAGATGATATGGAGGAAATGCATCGTACTGAATGGGTTGGTTGGTCTTAGGAGTTTTTGGCACAAAGTACCTTGGCTATCTGTACCCACTGAATCGGGGCCATGATGAAAAATGGTACTGGTTGCCCACATCCTCAACATCATTGTTGGTTGTAAATCTCATAAGACTGGCTTATGAAAAATTCAATAAATAAAACATTCACTGTATCATTCAACAACAGTATATTGTTGTTGTTTTTTAATTATAGTATTTTATTTTTAAATAGAGTAGACAAAGCATTTAAGAAGTTTAAAAAAAATGCAAATTCAGTTAAAAATACCACATAAAAGTCTGTTTAGGAAAAAACAAAAAAGAAACTTCAAGTTTATCTTACGTTCCAGGTTTAACAAGTCAATTATATAAAGTATTTAAAAAGTATCAGAATTTTTACCCTATCTTCAAGCCAATAAATAAGATGAAAGATATGATAGGGAATGCTAAAGGCAAAATAGAATTAACAAATAAAATAAGTATATACAACATAGAATCTGAATGTGGTAGTGTTTATATTGGTCAAACTAAAAGAAATTTAAAATATAGATTGCAAGAACACAAAAATCACATAAGAAATAATAA